AAGTCAGCATTCTGAGATTAAGGTAAATATTCTGAGGAAAAAGTTAGAATTCTGAGATTAAGGTAAGTATTCTGAGGAAAAAGTCAGAATTCTGAGATTAAATTCAGAATTCTGAGCTTAAAGTCAGAATTCTGAGCTTTTTCACATATTAAACTGAAATAATATTTAAAAATCAATTAACTTTTTTTTCAGTGGTCCTAATCCTCTTCCGTATAATATCTATTTATCATTTTATTTATTTTAATTTTGAGTAAATGCTCTTATTTTTTCACCGGAAGTGAGGCGTCCCTTGTGGTCATTTAAAGATGGCGGACTGCATGGCTGCACGTTTGACCGCCCAGGAGGAGCAGATCCGGCTCCTCACCGCCGAAATCTCTGCTCTTCGGGACGGACTGAACGGCGGCGCTGACCACGCTGGGGTCAGTCCGGAGGTAGAGAGCCTGCGGGCGGAGAATGAGAAGCTCAGGTACCGGCTGCTGCACCTCCGGAGGGGTCTGCAGGCTGAGATGGAGATGGAGGAGGCGCAGGGGAAGAAGCAGCCTGGAGAGAAGAGTGGCAAAAAACACCCACAGACAGACAGCAGAGCTGATAACCGGGTAACAAGAAATGCTGTTCATTTATTAGGAGCATAAAACTGAAAAATTGATCAATAGCAGAGATTAGTGAAGGCCTCTGCTCAGCCAAGTGAGTGGACAGAAAGCAGCCCACGTCCACAGACAGCTGTCCCACTCACTTACTGGCTGTGTGGGACATGAAGCAGACATTTTAAAGAGGCCTCTAAACATGCTCCAATACATGTTTAACAATAACAAACCCTGAATGATGCCTCCTGTTAAAGATCAGGCATGTTTCCACATTAATAAAATGCATTATTTCACAGGGAATTATTTAGAGCTGCACCGATTACAGGTTTCTGACCGATCACCTATTCATGATCTTTAAAAAGCCTGGCATGCCGATTAAGATTTTGACATTTCAACCTTATCTTACTGAAAAAACATTCATCATTGCTGTGAAACAATAAGAACTTCTGAAGTAACTGCTCTTTTTTTATTCACATTTTTTCTACTTCATAAAGGCTAGCTTTATTTTTGTTTACCTTTGATCACTGCTTCAGGAATGGACATTTTCTTTAAGCTGTACAAAATGAAATTTCTTTTTGTATACACTCTGTTTAAACACATGAACAGATTCCTTAGGAACTGGTCGCCTGGACTTGGCCCAGAAACATCAGAACATTCTTCAAACATTGTTTTTTTGATAATGAATAAATGCTGATAAAACATCCTTTTTTTTCTTCATTTTCAGACTTTAAGAAAGATATTCATGTCATAATTTCCTCATCTCAGCTTTGTCTTTTTCAGCTCCCTGACACACTCCTGGACCTTTAGCACACAGCATTCGTTTTAACTTCATAAAAAAAAAAAAATCTACTTATTGCTTTGACTTGTTTGCTGTAAATATTTGTCAAAATGTAAAACAACCTTTCAGAAAACGATGAAATTTGTTTGTTAGCACGCTAAAACAAACTCCTCTCTCCTTATTAACAGGCACTAATCCCAGACAAGAGTCCTGGTGAGAAAAACAGGAAGGAGAAGCAGCAGGATAAGGGGCAGGTGGATGGACGCGTAAAAGAGGTAAAGGGATCATATTTAGTAATAGCTAAGGACATGTTCCTCCTGGTTTAGTAATTTTGCCTACAAAGTATTGAATAGTCTTTTAATGTATTGTGTTAGATTATCTCTTTGGCATCTTCTGGATCCGTTGAGTTTAGATGAAGACACGTGAGAATGGAAAATCTCCACAGCAGTCAAACACGGAGGTGGAAGCTTTGTGCTCGGGTTTTGTCTCTGACAAGGGTGCATGAAGACTTCCCTTCGTGTATAATGAGGTTAGCAAGCAGAACCATTTCCTGTAAAATCTTTCGTTCCTTAATTGGAAACAAACTGACCCTGCGAACATATTTATTTTTTCTTACCAACATATACTCCAGCTTTTATTGTCATTACACTGTTACAAGTACAGAGCAATTGTGCCATTGTGCCACGCCCCACAAGCAGTGTGGGGCTAAGGGTCTTGCTCAGGGACGGGCTTGGACTAGTAATCTGTGATACAGGGCATTTGGCCAGTGGGTCGGTCCTAATTTCAGCATGCGAGGGCCGTCCCTCCTTAAATCATCCCCAACACTTATTTACCGGCCAAAGCTCCTACCTGGGACAGTAAATAACTCAAGGCGCTCAAGTAGTAATACAATGTTAACTAGTTAAATGATGCATGCAGTATACACTCACCGGCCACTTTATTAGGTACACCTGTCCAACTGCTCGTTAACACTTGATTTCTAAGCAGCCAATCACATGGCCGCAACTCAGTGCATTTAGGCATGTAGACATGGTCAAGACAATCTCCTGCAGTTCAAAGCGAGCATCAGTATGGGGAAGAAAGGTGATTTGAGTGACTTTGAACGTGGCATGATTGTTGGTGCCAGAAGGGCTGGTCTGAGTATTTCAGAAACTGCTGATCTACTGGGATTTTCACGCACAACCATCTCTAGGGTTTACAGAGAATGGTCCGAAAAAGAAAAAACATCCAGTGAGCGGCAGTTCTGTGGGCGGAAATGCCTTGTTGATGCCAGAGGTCAGAGGAGAATGGCCAGACTGGTTGGAGCTGATAGAAGGGCAACAGTGACTCAAATAACCACCCGTTACAACCAAGGTGGGCAGAAGAGCATCTCTGAACGCACAGTACGTGGAACTTTGAGGCAGATGGGCTACAGCAGCAGAAGACCACACCGGGTGCCACTCCTTTCAGCTAAGAACAGGAAACTGAGGCTACAATTTGCACAAGCTCATGGAAATTGGACAATAGAAGATTGGAAAAATGTTGCCTGGTCTGATGAGTCTCGATTTCTGCTGCGACATTCGGATGGTAGGGTCAGAATTTGGCGTCTACAACATGAAAGCATGGATCCATCCTGCCTTGTATCAACGGTTCAGGCTGGTGGTGGTGGTGTCATGGTGTGGGGAATATTTTCTTGGCACTCTTTGGGCCCCTTGGTACCAATTGAGCATCGTTGCAACGCCACAGCCTACCTGAGTATTGTTGCTGACCATGTCCATCCCTTTATGACCACAATGTACCCAACTTCTGATGGCTACTTTCAGCAGGATAATGCGCCATGTCATAAAGCTGGAATCATCTCAGACTGGTTTCTTGAACATGACAATGAGTTCACTGTACTCAAATGGCCTCCACAGTCACCAGATCTCAATCCAATAGAGCATCTTTGGGATGTGGTGGAACGGGAGATTCGCATCATGGATGTGCAGCCGACAAATCTGCGGCAACTGTGTGATGTCATCATGTCAATATGGACCAAACTCCCTGAGGAATGCTTCCAGCACCTTGTTGAATCTATGCCACCAAGAATTGAGGCAGTTCTGAAGGCAAAAGGGGGTCCAACCCGTTACTAGCATGGGGTACCTAATAAAGTGGCCGGTGAGTGTATATAGTCCTTCCTTGTCATGCACATCCTTGTAACCGTTGGCATATGGTGTAATTTTCTATTTCTTCAAACTGTAAAATCCTTCCAACAAATTAAATAATATTAAAACTAAGATGCTTTCAATGTTCCTCTTTTATTTGGGGAATTTATGTTCAAATATTTTACAAAAATATGTTGCGGTGCATGATGCCACCTAGACTGGCAGTGAATGCTTACACACCGCTGAGTTTTCATGGATTCATTCTTGGAAAAACTGCCTGTGTGCCTCTATATTGTATTGTTTAATGTTGGTGTCCGACCCGGTGACGGTATGCTTCCACCCGCCTGCCTTACCGTGCCCCCGCCTGCCCGCTAAGGCTCGGTTCTGCTGCACTGGAGTCAACCTCTCGGACATTTTTTTTAGGTATGAAAAGTAGGACATGTCCGGGGAAAAAGAGGACATCTGGTATACAATGTGTTTCACATTTGAGACGCATGTGTTTGACTGCATAGCCTTATCAGGGACTGTATTATAAAATTTAGGCAGGATCGGGATGAGTCGGCAATAAAGATGAACACAAAAACTGTTTCTGCTAGAATTAAAATGTGTTGTTTTATTCTGCCACAGAAAACAGCAAAGCAAGCACATCAATCAAGGCACGGTGCTGAATACAAATTATATTGTCTCAATACAATTTATATTGTCCCCCTACCGTGACACAAGGATCGGAGGGCCGGTCGATTCTGGCAGGGCAGCAACCCACGCAGCTAGGTGTCGGTACGCAACCCTAGCAGACCCCGCCGGTGTCAACAAGCCCCCGCCATTTATGCCACACTTCAAATTAAAATCTTTCACCCAATCAGGAAAAGTGACCGCTCCCTCTCACACCTGGAGCGCATGATTACAGAAACCAAAATATGGAACCAGCATCCCACGAACCCACCCAGGGCTCGTGGACAGCTGAAACCAAAAACAAAATAACATAATGATCAGATACAAAAACAAGTTACATCATGCCCAGTACCTGGTACCAATCACTGCTTCATCTGTGTTACCTCCCCAGAGCTCATTATGCCCAGTATCTGTTCCCCAGAGCTCATGGACACAGCGTAAAAAAAACATGTTCCTGATTCGATACAAACTTATATAAAAATAGTGCTTCATTTGTGATACAAAACTTGTATGATTGTCAAAGAACATAAAATATAAAACCCATATATATCAGGGACCCAGAGTGGAAGTCTGTGGAAGTGGGGCTAGAACTGAGAACCTTTGGATTCCAAGCTCCGTCCCCCAACCACTAGGCCGCCACTCCCCTAATGAGAAATATACAACTGAATAACTTTAGACAGTAACTTTAGACAATAACTGATTGTTTTGTTTTTGCGTGTTTTGTTTGTTCACTTTGCCTACTAAAGCTGAACCCATGGCCTCCGTATGTTCCTGAACGCCTCAGCCTCTACGAGGAGCTTAAGAAGGAAAGTGATGCCCTGCTGGCGAAGAAGGCTGCAGGAAGTAAAGCCATTATTGTTGAGCTGAGTGATGGCCGAAAGGTTCCAGGGAAGTCCTGGGTTACGACGCCCTATCAGTTAGCCTGTGATATCAGGTACGTTTTAACAATTCTTCATCGATAAAATGATGAAAATCGAAGCTTATCTGAGGAAGCCCTGCGTTTCTTTGTCTGGCAGCCAAGGCCTGGCTGACAATGCGGTGATTTCTCGAGTCAACGGGGAGCTCTGGGATCTGGACCGCCCTCTGGAGCAGGACTGCTCTCTGGAGATCTTACGCTTCGACAACGACGACGCCCAAGCTGTAAGTAAAGAAAACCCTTAATATGTAGAAAATCCTAACTAATCCTGTTCTAGGTGTTCATTTTTTCTGCTGTCCAATCATATGAGCAGAACCAAAACAGTACTTTTTGTTTAATCATAAGGAAAACATCGGAGCTGATATCTGACTCACATTTTTGGTGTAAAAATAGACATGTCCAGCGTGAGAATGCGTGCATGGCTTTATTTTGGTATTTAGAAAATAAAAGGCTATTCAAATCTGAAACGGAGAATTTCCAGACAGTTTAATCAGTTTTATTCAACAATCCACATCAAATATTAAGGGGAGTGATGGCCTAGTGGTTAGAGCAGTGTGCTTGTGATCTGAAAAGGTTGCAAATACCCAGTTCGATCCCATTAGCCTCCACTCTGGGTCTCCGAGGAAGACCCTTAACCCCCAATTGCTCTCTGGGCGCCACAAAATGGCAGCCAACTGCTCCCCAAGGGAATGGGTTAAATGCAGGGGTGAATTTCTCCATTGTGAGATCAATAAAGTTAAATAATTTTTTATCACACTCATCAAAGTGAAACCCAGCATGTTATAGCTCTTTAGACTCAGGCAATCCTAAAGAAAATGACCTTCAACTCAAATGTAAAGCCGACCATACAGTACAAAAACCAATAACTAATCATTCGACATTAACTTAGGCTAATTTTGTCTGTATAGCCCCACAGAAAAGTACTTTCCAGTTATATTTTCCAAAAGATAAACTTAAATGTTGTAATAATCCACCAAAGGTCGTTTTTTTTTTTTTCAATAAAAAAGTAAAAACATAAGGATGACGATCCTATAATGAATCTCGTAACGATAAGATTTACGCAACGATACGATACGCAATGTTAGATCATCTATATTGCGGGGAAATATTCACCTACCTATTTACGCTATACATCAAGTATAACTTTGAATTTGAATGACTACGTCAAAATTCCTTTAAGTAAAAAAAAAAAGGACCTCCCCATACGAATGCATCATGTAGTTCTTTGTTCAGCTGGTGTTCCACAATATAGGGACCAAATGACCTTTGATTGACATATTTTGTTAGCCAATAAGATTAGGTTTGTGCTGATACATCAGAAGTGTAGGGGCAGGCTGAAAATACAGGGTTTATTTTCCTGGGTAACGACTGACAGGAGAGGAGAACCTAGCAGTTACTCAAGGAGTGGAACTTCAGGCTTGGAAATATTGGAAATATTGTAAAAATTTTTGCTTAAATGAAAATTTGTGTAGATATAGGCACTGAAAAACATGGCATGTGAGCAACAACAACTCCTACCGACGAGGATTTACAAATGGGAGCATCTAGCCGGTGGGTTTTGCAAGCTTTGAGTTTTGAGAATAACTCAGAATGCATGAAAATTGCAACAAACTAAACTATTCTAATATTTAGGTCCCTTCTTCTGTTTGAAATAATACTGGCCTGCTGGATGCCTTCTATTCCTTTCAGGTGTACTGGCACTCCAGCGCTCACATCCTGGGAGAAGCCATGGAGCGCTTCTACGGAGGCTGTTTGTGTTACGGCCCGCCGATAGAGAACGGTTTCTACTATGATATGTTCCTGGATGGACAGAGGTGAGAGAGGACTCTGTCATTATTTGCATGCTTTCTAATTTAGATGTTAACAATGAACTTGGAGAAACAAAAAAACAAGGTTATGAAGGTTTCAAAGAAATGAACTTGTTGCCAAAGGCGTAATGACACAACAATAGGCCTGTAAGCAACATTATCAACCATACATTCACACTTCATCATTTCACCATTCTTCACTATACATAGATATACATGCTCTCCATTCATCTCTTGGTTGCAGTCTTTACTCACTGTAGTAGCAGCAATGTCCACCTCTGCCTCTTCAGTTTTTTTGAAAGAACGTGTTTATTTTGGGAAGTTTTTTTCCGTTCTTCCAGCAGCTCTTTCCTTTTTCTTTTCTGAAATCCACTTAAGTACCTCTTTTTTTCGTATCCTTCATCACTAACACATTGTAACTGTTATGGTATTAATCTACGCTCTGGATAACCCATAATTCCAAGTGATATTGTAAAAAATAAAATACTCAAATACATCATTCTTTTAAGATCTTTATTGCGGTTTGAAACAATATTATATGAGTGTATTTTTTTTTTTACCAATCGTCTAATGAACTATACACAGTTATTAACATAGTAATTAAAAGTACCACTGTCTGCTTTGCTATTGGTGTCTTGTTTATACGGCTCACCATCATGTTGAAATCTGGCATATATTGAGGTATAAATAAGGTCTGGTCATTTGATCTAGTATGCGGCGGGTTTAAGACCAATTTTTCGCACTATTACGTTTGCAAAGAGACGTCCTAGTCCACAATTGCGTTGGAGGCCTACCAGGTGTCATTTACGGGGCCCCTAAGAGGTCGGTGGCCCCTAAGCAACTGCATACTCTGCTTACTGATAGTTATGCCATTGCTTGTTACCTTTTGAAGCATATCTGTAGTTTGTTTCCACGTGTGCCAAAGCTTAACAGCAGTGGTGTGATAGTATTAGAAGGCAAAGATGGCGTCGCAGACCTATATCACTGCCACGTTGAAATTTAGACCAATACACTTTATTTTAAGAGCGGATCAGCTCAAACGCTTTTCTTTTGGTTATTGTTGACATTTTCATATCCTCCACCAATGGATTTATGTGGTTTGGTTATGATCTGCAGGTTAGTGAAGGCGCACACACAAAAAAAGCTTTGCACACGTGGTCTGCTAATTTGCGACCCAAATCGCTTCTTTGAATATCCGCTCTGTGCGTACGAAGAGGATTGTGCTTGTTTTAAGACGTCCAAACATTCTAAAGGTCCGGCACTAAAGTTTTTTAAAATTACACAGAAACCAGGAAGATATACTGAATTTTAATTAGCTTAATGGCTGCGCAGAAATTTTTTTCCTTGTTTTTTTAATAATATTTTACCACCTTATTTGAACATACTTGTGCGAAAAGTGCCGTAACTGTATAATTTAATTTCTACCCCTTCTTTATTGTATTTTTGGGGGCAATTAACTGTATGCTTATTTATTGAGCATTTATGTATTTATGTATGTATTTTCAAATATGGTAGAGCTGGTCCTCCATATGGTACAGAATACAAGCATTATAATGCATACTAACATATATTTATATATATATATAAGTAACAATCTGGTCTGATATTGTCTGTTCCAAAAAAAAGTTAAAAACAATCCACTGGAGTTTGTTTCCAAGTTGAAGACGTTTCGCTTCTGTCGTGGGAAAAAAGTATTCAACTATTCATCCTAGTTAAATAAACAGAGATCTATGGATTTCACTCAGTCGGAACATTTATTCATATCTTTGCAAAGAGAGAACAGATCATCATACAGCCCTAATGCATGCTAATTAGCATACTTACAACAATGGAAAGCAGTCAGAGTCAAAACAAATAACAGACACTTTGGTTAAACAGTAACATGTTATGAATAAACCTTGAGAAAGAATCTGATTTGTTATGGGAAGAAGCTACGTCTGGTCTACAAACACCATCCTGCAGAGAATTGTGTGGCCTTGAAAGTGAAACAGACTGATACAAAAAGTGCAGCAGTGGTCAAAGTGTAACACTGCTGCACTTTTTGTATTACTCGTTCCATTTGAAATATCAATGCAATGCTCATAAGCTGTATGTAACGCAATTTCATTTTGTATGCACTCTGTGCATACAAAATGACAAATAAAGAAGTCTAAGTCTAAGTCTGAGTGAAAACTTTTATAGTGAGTAAATAAGATAAATGAATATGTAATAGAAGGGAAATAAAAATTTACCGACAAAAGTTTCTCATCCATGAAGTTTTTTCAATTCAAAATGGTACAAGGATATTGTTTAACTGTTAGACTCCCTCTAGTCGTCTGGAGTTTGCTGCTGTTTGCTGCTCATTTTCTTTCCGTGATTGTAGTGGCATGTTTTAGGAGCGTTTTTCTGTTGCTTTTGTTTTTTGTGTTTTGGAGTTTGCATCACGCATGTTTTTGTAGCACCTTTTGTTGTTTGCTGCGTGTTTGCGCCTGTTGGCCACCGTAAATAACACCCAACTGCATATCTCTTTAATAACACATCATCTCTGTAATGCCCTCCGGGGTGCATTGGCTTCTGGTTCCGGTCTTGTGGGGACGGTCTACACGAGGCGACTGTCCTGGTGGGTTTATGGGCTTGAATGTCTGGGTAAAGGAGCCGGGTGTGTTTGCTGTTTCCAGGTCAGTTTCCAGCACAGAGTTTGGAGACTTGGAGGCTTTGTGTAAGGCTGTTGTAAAGGAAAAACAGCCTTTTGAGAGACTTGAAATCAGTAAAGAGACGCTGCTAAAAATGTTTAAGGTCAGTATATTTAAGGATGGATGTTCTCTTTTGAAAAACTCTGTGCCATAAATCTTAAACACAGAGAAGTTATATTTAACCGAAAGTTGTTTCTTTTTTCTTCTAGTACAACAAATTCAAGTGTCGCATTCTGAATGAGAAAGTTACCACCCCAACTACTACAGTCTACAGGTTGGTGCTTCTCACTCGGCAGTTTAGAAACAGAGAAATTGGGAGTAATTCACTAAAACTCATGAATCCATTCCAGATGTGGGCCCTTGATTGATTTATGCAGAGGCCCTCATGTTCGACACACGGGGAAGATCAAGGCATTGAAGATTTACAAGGTCATTTCTCATTTTGTCAAATTAGAGCCACTGGTTTCTGTTGGACTTTCTATCAGTTGCAGATTGACACACTGTGAATGGAGACGGATGCACACCACACTTTTTCAGATAAATCCCCCCTTTCCTTTTTATCCGTCTGTCACCAGAACTCATCCACCTACTGGGAGGGCCGATCGGACATGGAGACTCTGCAGAGGATCTATGGGATTTCCTTCCCAGACTCAAAGATGCTGAAGGAGTGGGAACGCTTTCAAGAGGAGGCAAAGAATAGAGACCACAGAAAGATTGGCAAGGTTAGTCCCTGCATTTAGACACTTCTCAGCAGGTATATTGGCCTAAATTAAGAGACTGATTCTGCTTCTAGTATTTTTTTTTTAATTCATATGGAAAAACACTAAAAGAAGCTGAAACCACAGATCTCTTGTCCTCCTAAAGCATGAATAGCTTCCCTCAGCTGGTTCACTGGTAGCCAGGTTTGGACATGAAAGGCTGAGCTTTTTCCATTTCCTGAATAAACCAGCTGAGGGCACTGTGCCTCTTCTCCCTGACTCATTTAGGACATCTGTGAATCATCCAAGCCTCCCATCTGGTTCATCAGCAGGAAGGATGCAGACAGCATCCAACTCAGTCAGCACTTCTTACAACACAGCCCCATTTTAAGCATGGCTTTAAAGCTGAAAACGCACCTGTTTCGGGTTAAAGATGGTTCTCTGTGGCTAAATCCAGACCTTTCATTTAGGGAAGAACATCTGGGAACTGGGTCAATATGCAGGACCAGCTCTGGCATATATGAAAAGAATAAATGATTGATTAATAGGAAAGAAATGTGAAAAGGATGGGAGGAAATTATAGAACTAAAGAAAATAATGGAATAAAAAATACAATAGAAGAAGAAAACGGAAACATATTAAGCCCTTAAAGCCTGGATTTTCTATCAATCAGATGTTGGTTTAAATACAACTTATTTATTTCAACATTGCGACTATACGTAATTTTAATACTCAATATGTTGATTGTTTTATTGATGCCATTAAACCTTAAACAGCACATGAAAATGGAGTCAAAATATATTTTTTATATTTTACAACTATTACTTCTTTAAACATCATAGCTAGGGATGCACGATATTGGGATTTTGGCCGATATGCCGATATTTTAAAACTCATGTATCCGATAACCGATATCGATACCGATGTTAAAGCTGGACAAAAATAAGTAGTCATTGAAAATAGCAGTTTTGTTCTCCATTTCTGACACTTTGAAAAATAATATACTCAAATATATTTTCATATGCTGATATCAAATAGATTTTTAAAAACGCGGTATCGATCTATTTTACTTTCAGAAGATCGTGAAATTTCATCGTTCTGTTACAAACTCTCGTGATATTTTGCAAATTCTTGTGAGATTTTGTTAGTAA